CAGCCAGGACCGCTCTAGCTGGAAACTGGCACATGCTCTAACTGAAACTGTGTGATGGCACCTTCATGCTGCTGCCAGGGGCTGGGGAGCACGGAGGTAGGGTTTGAAAGCAAGTCTTCAACTTGCCTTTTGAATTTGTCATCATCATCATCGTCATTGTGCCCCATGCCCGGGACCATCTCAGTTTTACACAATACGGGAGCAATTGCTGTGGCTGCTGCCAGCCCCTCTGCACTTTCTGCTGCCCCATTGCCCATGGGGGCTGTGGACACTCGATGTCCATGCCCTGGTGGGCACAGAGCCCTCCAGAGCCCAGCCCAGCCGCTGCGCATGAGCGTGGGCTCCCAGTGCTGTTATGTGGGAGCGTATTAATTGCATTAGTATTTCCACTGGAAATTATAACTGAGGTCCAGTGAGCCCAGCCAATTTCCTTGGCCTGCGTCTGCTAACAGGACACCTCTGCTTTTTCCACTGCGCTACCTTGTCAGTGCCACGAGTGCTAAATTGGTGACAGGCGAGTCACATCCCCGTGACCTCCACCTCCCGTCCTGCTGTCCCCTCATCTGGCCAAAAGGCAGCCTGGATCTGCACCATGGGGACACAGAAACCCCTCCGGGAACAGCCCCCATCAGATCCCAAGCCCCACTGCTAATTAACGGAGGTGTCCTGTAATATAGCTCACCCTGGATGGCCTTGAAGTCATTCACAGGTGTAAAGTCAGGAGGATTAAGGGCTCATAATATTTATCTGGCACAGCAGCCACCGATTCCAGCAAAAATAACGGAGCGAGCTCCTTGGGTTTCCTGCCACCACAAGGTACACACTCGCACACACTCTCCATTTCATGAATGTTTACGCACCCCAGCTGCCAGGAATCTCACTCCCGCTGCTTCCCACCACCTCAACACACTTCCCTGTATCTTCCTGAGCCTGTTTTCTCTCCAAGCAGCTGGCAAAGCCCCTTTTGCTTGGGACCAGGAGGAGCCGCGCTTCCTCGGGCGCCAGAAGGGCCAGGCGGAGGGTGCACCTACAAGCTACGATTCCCATCTCCAGCCATTCACACCGCCCGGAGATGCCCTGCAGAAGGAGCATGAGGCCAAAACACAAGGAAGGGACCTGAAAGTTAGGGATGGGAGAGGAAGGGTGAGCGCAGAGCAGCCGCACTGACGGCCGCCCACTCGTCCTTAAAGGCCACAGTGTCGATGAAGGTGCCGGTGACGGAGGAAGTATCTGCTCACGCCTGCAGAGCTGAGAAGAAAGGCACTTTCTACACCTCCACCTCCAGCGGCACAGCCAGCAAAAATAGCACCTGACCCCAAAGATATGAATATCTCCTGCAGAGAGCGTCGGCTCGTTTTACACCCCCAGCAGAAATAAAGGCTCCTGCTGCCACCAGCCTCCGTGTGCTAGAGCACTGGGGCAGCAAATACGCCCCCATGTACCTGCAGATTCCCCAGGAGGCGGCAAGAGCAAAATGCCCAAGTCGCCCTGCACTCACAGGGGAAGTTTTCCATGTGACTTTAGTAGTTCCCTTTCCCAGTGTGAAACTTAGGAAATTGAAAGCAAGCAAACAGACCCCCCGTCTTGTTTTTAATAATTCAGACTTTTTGTGTGTGTTGTGTGTGTGTGCATTCTTTTCCCAGTCACTCGGACTCTAGCAACCAGACCTGCAAGGTCACGACTTGCTCAGGGTGAAGAAAAGCAGAGGTATCTTAAAAGCAGAGGTATCTTAAATAACGATACCCTTCAGCTGGAGTGCAGCATCACCAATGATGTTTGTGGCAGAGCTGGCACTTCGATTCGGTTTATATTGGTGGGCAGAACAACCTCTCATGACTCTGACTGGCATGGAGATGGGCTCAGAGCACGGCCACCCTGCGAGGCGGCTACCTGGCTTCCCGCCGTGGCGGGAGCGGCGGATCAGATTATCCCCTATCGGTTTGTGTGGAGCTACGTAGGCTCCCCGCATAATCCACTCTCAAAAGCAGCCCATCAGGATTACATGAAGCGTAAGCCATAAAAATAGAACACAACCACGTAAAAATAACCATACCGGGTCAGATCAAAGGTCTGCTTTGGCCTGCATCCAAGAGCAGCCTATAGCACATACTTAGGGGAAAAAGGGGGGAATCACAGAGTGGTGTTTTTTCCTGTGCATTGTCCACCAACATTGCATTTGAGGTTTTCCTTTGGCTTTTGCAAACATCCAGGAACTTTTCTTCCATAAATATATCGGTTTGCTTTTTTAAATCCATTTATAATTTGACCTCCGCAGCATCATGGTATGATGAGCCCACAATTTTTTGTACACAGTGTTTGGAAAAGCACCTCCCTCAGTTTTAAACCTCCAGGCTCTGTGCTTCACTTGCTGTCCTGTGGCCAGTTCCCTGTGGATCTTTTTGGCCATTCTGGTCCCTGCCAGGTCTGCTCTGGGAAAGTGGTTCTTAATTGCTATGCTAACGGTGTGCATGGATCCGTTTAGGAATCTGATTCCTGTGTGCTTCCAGATGAGTTTAGCATCTGCTTGCATCTGAATCAGGGAGCAGGAATGCTCCAGAAGCAGCTCCTGAGCGGAAAATTGGCTCGGGAAGAGCTCAGGAAATCCTGGCACATTAGCACTGGTTCCTGGGTTCGACTGTATAATCCCAAGCAGGACATGCTGGGTCTGCACTAGGTGGCTAGGGAGCACGATACTGCATTCAAACCAGGCTGTTAACACATTTATTCACCTTTTCAGCAACTATCTTTATTCATTCGTCTTCATTTATTCATGTTCCTATCTTTATTCATTTGCATTTACTCGCATTAAAGGTCTCGCAAAGCTCTGACAGGAGGAGGAAGGATCAGATTTTTCATTCTGGGGCTGGTGTGAATTCATGCCCACACAAATTCCCACTTGGGCCTAGAGGGCTCTGACTTTTAGCCACGAGGTGGGGCGAGCAGCTAAATTCCTGCTCTGAGCATGTGCGAGCAAATGCAAAGCAGACCACCATGCAGTCAGGTTTTGACAAGCCAAATCTCTGGGAAAAGGGAAAAAAAATTCCTTCTCAGCCTCAACATTTGGTGCACAAATACGTAGAAATGCACAACCTTAAACCCGAAGTTTGCAAAACAAACGCGCCGAGGGCACGTGAGTGATGCGTGGCGCAGGAAGCGCGCGGGAGCTCCCGCACGAACCCACGCGGGTTCTCGCCCTGCACCGCATCCAGCCCCGGAGCAGGGGCCGACAGGGAAAAATCCCGGGCTCGGAGCAGCTCAGCAGCGAAAGGGTTATCTCGTCCGGCTTCCTCAGTGACTCTTGGAAAGTCCCCGAAATGACGTTTCCAACCTAACAATTAAAACGGGTTTAATTATAGAGAGGTTCAGAGCCCTGGGAACAAGCACCATCTACAGAATAAGTAAACAACTGCAGAAAATAATAGACTGGTCTCTCTGCTGGTTGCTCCACACTTCTGGCCAAGCAGAAAAAGGAAAAAAGAAAAAAAAAGGAAAAAAAAAAAACTAGAAAGAGAAGGAAATTCGAGGAACCCGACCGCTCTCCTTAAATAAATAATCATAATAAAAAAATAAAAAAAAAAAAAAAAAAAAANAAAAAAAAAAAAAAAAAAAAAAGAAATCTGGAATAGCTGGAGCCTGTGGGCGTTTCTCCCAGTTGGTTATTTTGGCTGTTCTCGAAGAGCGAAGGAGGGGAAAAGGATCAGCCGCCAGTTCAAAGTCCAGATCCTGCGACTCTAGAGCAAACACAAGAGGAAGTGGATCATTTGTTTAAAGTTTTCGCTGCGCTTGCCCTTCAAGGTTCTCACTCCGCTGCCCAGAGCACGGGTTTCGTTTCTGCCCTCCAAGTTGGAGCAAAGGGAGGAGGAGGAGGAGGAGGACGTGTTTGGGGGGCCCCTCCTCGCCCGCTCCTCGCGTTGGGGACGGGAGCAGAGCCGCTGGCTCAGCCTTAGGCGAAACCCCCTCCGAAGTGCAGGCGAGCGCTGGGGCTAAATCCAGTGGGCTTCGCTCCGGTGCCCCCCGATACCGGAAAGCCTTGAAACTTTCAACATTCACAAAGATACTGCCCGCCCCCCCGCCTCCCCGCCGTATCGATAGCAGTATGAGTCACTCTCTGCCTACTAAAACCTGGAACTGATTATTTGCTCAGAAATGCCTTTTTTTTTTTTTTTTTTTCCTCTCTCTCTCCCAGTTTCACAATTCTTGAGTTCTGGGGACGGGGAAGAGAGTAGACGGCAAGCAAAGGCAGAATCTACCAAGCAGCCTGTATGCGGGCCAAAAACGTACTTTAACGATTTAAATTAAACTGGATGTGAATTATTTCCTCTTGCAGGGCCTGCCAGGTTTCAATAACAAATCGGAAAATAAAAAATAAAATAAACCCCCCAACGAGTGGGGCTCCGGGGCGGCGCTGTGAAGCAACAGGCGGACACTGGGAAGGCGGCGGCGCGGAGCGGATCCCCTCGCTTTAAATCAAGGCAGACAAACCCGAGCCAGCCCCAAGCGGGAGCCGGTGCTGGGAAGCGGGGTGAAACGGGCGGCCCCCGCGCGGCTCCCGGGGGGCTTTGGGAAGAGCCGGGCTCGCAATTAGGTCACCGCTTGCGCGGCCCCAGGCGCGGGGCTGCGCGGCCCGGGGGCGCCGGCACCGCCCGGCCCGGCCCGGCCCGCGGCGCGCACCCCCCAAACGGGGGAGGGAAGAAAACACCGCGCCGCTCCGAGGGCGTTTTCAGAAAGGACTGATTTTTTATTATATTTTTTTTTCTTTCCCCCTCTCCCTCCCCCTTTCCCTCCCCCTTCTTCCTCCCGAAAGTTTTTCCTGCGCGCGCCCGCCCCGGTGATTCAGTCGCGGTGTCAATCACCCTGCCCTCCTCCTCCTCCTCCTCCCCTTCCTCCCGCCGCCAGCCCCGCCTCCCGGGGCGTTAAGTCCGAAACTTTATAAGTTGCGGCGGAGCGCGGCCGTGCCGGGAAGAGGGGGCGCGGGCGGCAGGCGGGCGGGCTGGTGGCGCCGCGGGCTGCGCCTTCCTCACCCTGCGAGCCGCCGCTCTCCGCATCGCCTCCCGGCCGCGCTTCCCGCCCCGTGCGCGCCCAGCATGTCCACGGCGCTCGTGTCGCCCACCATCTTCGACCTGAGCGAGGTTATATGCAAGGTAAAGCCCGGCCTCGCGCCGTCGCGTTTTGCTTCTGGCTCGTTTGCGTTTGCTGGTTTCTTTTTTTTTTAAAAAAAGTTGGGCAGTCGCGGCGCTGCTTGCGCCCTGCCGGAGTTGCAGGTCGCGCCGGGCCCCGCCGGGGGCAGCAGCGGCAGCAGCAGCAGCGCGCGGGGCTGCGACGGCGCCGCCCGCCGCTTCCCGCCCGGAGCCGGGGCTGGGATTGGGGCCGGAGCGGGAATTGGGGCCGCGCGCCCCGAACGAGCGGGACTTTTCGGGAAAGCAGCCGCAACGCTTGCGGGCTGCAGCCCGCAGCGCTCTCCCGTTCTCGTTGCGTTGCTCTTAGTACGTGTGTGTATGTGCATGTGTGTGTGTATATATATGTATGTATATGTTTGTGTTCCCTGCTCGGCGCGCGCGGGCGGTTCCGCGGAGCCCGGGGCCGTGGCAGGGGTCGCCCGGGGGTGCTGTGCGGTGGCGCCGCTGACGGGGCTCTCGCTTCCCCCCCCTCCCTGCAGAGCAACAAGATGCTGAACTACAGCCCGCCGGGGGTCGGCGGGTGCCTGCTGGACAGGAAGGCGGTGGGCACGCCGGCCGGCGGCGGCTTCCCTAGGCGGCACTCGGTCACGCTGCCCAACGCCAAGTTCCACCAGAGCCAGCTGCTGGGCGGCCTCAAAGGGGAGCCCGCGCCCATGCTGGGCCCCCGCGAGAGCCGCTTCCGGGACCGCTCCTTCTCGGAGGGCGGCGAGCGGCTGCTGCAGCAGAAGCAGCCCGGCGGACAGGTCAACTCGAGCCGCTACAAGACGGAGCTGTGCCGCCCCTTCGAGGAGAACGGCGCCTGCAAGTACGGCGACAAGTGCCAGTTCGCGCACGGCATCCACGAGCTGCGCAGCCTCACGCGCCACCCCAAGTACAAGACGGAGCTGTGCCGCACCTTCCACACCATCGGCTTCTGCCCCTACGGGCCGCGCTGCCACTTCATCCACAACGCGGAGGAGCGCCGCGCCGTGGCGGGGGGCCGCGAGCCCGCCGTGCCCGAGCGCCCCCGGCTGCAGCACAGCTTCAGCTTCGCCGGCTTCCCCAGCGCGGCCGCCAGCGGGCTGCTGGACAGCCCCACTTCCATCACGCCGCCGCCCATGCTGAGCGCCGACGACCTGCTGGGCTCCCCCACCCTGCCTGACTGCGCCAGCAACCCCTTCACCTTCTCCAGCCAGGAGCTGGTCAGTCTCTTCGCGCCCAGCATGGGGGTGCAGGTGCCCAGCGGGGGCTCCCCCACCGCCTTCTTGTTCAGGCCCATGTCCGAGTCCCCCAACATGTTTGACTCGCCGCCCAGTCCTCAGGACTCCCTCTCCGACCAGGAGGGCTATCTGAGCAGCTCCAGCAGCAGCCACAGCGGCTCCGATTCGCCCGTCCTGGACACCTCAAGGCGTCTTCCCATCTTCAGCAGACTCTCCATCTCCGACGACTAATCTGGGGTCTCCTCCTGCTCGCCCCCACCTCTATTACGATGTTAAGCTGAACTCCCCTCCCCTGCCCCGACCTCCGGTGTGAGCTGCATGTTAACGTGTCCACCTGCCTGTCGTAGACCCACCGGCTTAAACCTTAAGTGCCAAATTAACGATGAGAAGCAATAACGTTTACAAAAAATTAGTGCCTTTTAAACACTTTCACTGTGACTGTATTTACCTCTCCAGCTGCAGAGGGCACCAGCAGCTCTGTGCACTTCCAGCTGTGCAGGAAATGTCCGGATCCAGCTCCCTCCACTGGCCACGTACTGCATCGCCCTGTCCCTTCCTGGCTGGCCAGTTCCCGCTAGGCTGCAGGCATGTGGACAACTGTTAACATCCAGCCCCCTCTCTTCCCCCCCACCCCCCTAAAGACTAATCTTGCCTGGATCCGCTCAGGTCTGCGGGAAGAGAAGCTGAGAACGGACAAAGATTGTGCCACGAGTGGGGACTTTGACTGGGAAAAGAAGAAAGAAAAAAACAAAAAAGAAAAAAACAGATGGACTATGAGAGACTTGATTTTGGTGCTAAAAGTTCCCCGTGTATTCATGTGACATCTTAAAGCAAATAAAGCAGTGGAGGGGGTGGGCCCGACGGAAGTCATTCCATACACACACACACACACACACACACACACACACACACACACACACACACACACACACACACACACACACACGTTCGTGTAAACAACGTTCCAGTAGACATAGCTTTAATGGTTTTGCTCTAGAGTACTTTAGACCTATCTTAGAGCACTCACGCCAAGCTTTTTATTATTTTTTGGTTTTTTGTTTTGTTTTTCTGGGTTTTTAATTTTGTATAACTTCAGAAATTGGAGAGCAAATTTTGCTTGTCACTGCACAACAATATAAAAAAAGCTTATTTAACTTATCAAAACGTATTTATTGCCGAAACCTATGCTTTTTTTGTTAATTTTGTTCATATTTATCGGGATGATGAATCCATAGAATATATTCTTTTATGTTTAAATTATGATCTTCCATATTAATCTTAAGATTGTGAAGTGTCTTTTTTCCTTTTTTCCCCCACAGTTTAATATATTATACTACAATGACATTTTTGTAACTTTACACTTTTTTGGTTATTTTATTTTAAAAAATGAAAAATTAATTTAAAAAAAATGCAAAAACTGTGTTTGGATTATTTATTTTAGAATTTCCCCTCTTTTTTTTTGTGTTGGACTGCAAATTGAGTTAATGCCTTTGCCTTTCTTCTCCTTCTGCTCTTCCCCCTTCTTCCTGGGTCTTGCAAACCTGGGCTTTAGAATGTACATACCTGAGCTCTGGTGTGAGACAGTTTGGAAGGAAGACATTTTACTTCCTCTTTTTTTCTTTTTTTTTTCTTTCTTTCTTTTTTTTTTTTCTTTTTTTTGGTATAAATTCTTCCAGGAGAAAAGCCTTTGGCTTAAAGTGCCTATCTGAAGACATTCCAAATACAGTTTGTCTTTGCGTTTCTGTATTCCAAGTTTGGAGTTTTCCTTGCCAAGGTGAACGGGACTGGCACAAAGAGAATAATGAATGTAATTTTTTCCCCCCCTGTTACTGTTCACTACATTGCTTTTTCTTCCTCTCTGTGTGAGTTTATTTAAAAGAGAATCTCTTTTGTAACGACTGTTTGCAGTTTAAATCAATAAACCCCAAGTTTTTTCAAGAAACTGACAGTGAAGCTGGTTTTAATTGCAAAAAGCGAAGTGCTGGTTTTAGATAACCACTCAAAAGGAGGTATTTTCTACCTTCTGACTCCCTGAGATGCCCCCGGGTGCTCTGGCACCTACCATCTCTCCTCACTGATGCCCTTGGTCCCATCAAGCAAAGGGGTGCACAGCTCTGTGGCTTCCCCATGGCTCTGATCCTCTCCATCTCTTACTGGAGTCCTGTGCTCTTGAGCTGCTCCATCTGTCCCTACAAGCTTCTTTCTCATTCTTGTGGCCTCCTCCTTAGCTGGGCTTTCCTCCCTGTGGTAGGGAACAGGCCCCTTGGGAAAAGCCTATGCTGTGCTTTGAGTGAGGATGTTGAAGTATGAATTTTCTACATCTCAGGCCCGGCTTGGTAGTGGTCCTGGTTGACTTTGTCAGTGGCTGTTTTGGTATTTTTATGAGGAAGAGGAACACGGATCCACCGTCAAGTCTCTAGGTACATTTATCATCCTGATACTGCAATCAAGCCATCGCACACCTTGATGCAACAGCAGTCCCAGCAACTTCTGAAGGCAGTGCTTTTGTTTAGGGATGCTTCCTTGCCCGTGCTCCTTGCAGTGCAACTCTTGTGTTCTCCCCTTCGAGCTCTCCTCTGGAGAAAGTTTGGCACTCTTCATCTGAAGCTGCTCCAGCTCTCCTCCAAATCAGGGGTGGAACGTTGCTGCCCGACCGCTCATCATCCAGTTGTCTTGACATGCCTCAACATTAAGGAGAGACATTTCCTAATGCACGTTGGAAACCTTCCTGCCAAACACAAGCTGCAGGATACCCCGGGGCTTCCACCGACGAACCTTCTCCGCTCTTGGCTTCTCGCAGCTCGCTTTCTTGTGTGGTCTGGCAACGAAGGAGAGCCAGGCACAGGAAGGATGGTGGAGAGCAGCGTGGCTGGTTGAAGCTGGTTCCCACGAGCCATGTAAAAGCTGCGTGGGGAGTTTGCTTGGCAGATGTGCACCTAACTGGCACATGGTTTGCTCTGCATGCTGGTGCCTGAGAGAAGAGCCCGGAGCGCCGTCCCGCTGCTGCTGGCAAGCCATGGTGTCCTGCAAATACCTCCTGCCCACAGCAGCGTTGCCCCTGCCATTAAACGTGGTGGGGCCCTGTCTGACAGAAGTTCCTACCTAGAAGAGCTGCTCCCGGCTGCAGTATTTGCCCAAATCTGCCTCTTCAACACTTTCTGGAAGTGCGGCTGTGCGAGGCCTATCTGATCTGGAGAGGATCCCAAACCTATCGCAGGGGGTGCGCATGGAGCTTGAAACTGTTTGCTTCCTCTTTGGACTCTCTGCACAGCTCTTGAAGCAAATACGCTCTGCCCAGTTAATAATTGATGAAGAAAATAGCTGTGTTAGTTGCATGGTGCAATTGGTATGACAAATGACGGGGATGCTGTGTTCAAAGCAGCTCACTGCTCGCCCTGCTTGTGTGTTTCCCTTGTCTTTCTGGGGCACTGGCTCTGGGAGGGCAGCAGCATTTTTCTTGTGTGAGTTCATTAATGCTAAATACTCTATCGCTAGGTATTTTGCTTTGGGAAACTAACCTTGAGCTAGGTCATGCAGGGCTGGAGAAGACCAGAATAGGCAGCAACAGAGGTTTGCTTTGCGTAACAGCTTTAGAGAGAGAGAGAGAGAGATTGAGCCCATGCAAAAGCCTCCAGCAATGTGGGGATTTGCCTGATCTGTCACCACTGACTTTCACTGTGGCTTGGATACATGGCAGAAGCTTGTCTGGAGTGGGGCTTCTGCTTCCTCCAAGCTGCAGTGGATGAGTTGTCCATGCTTTCTTGCATGTTTATCATCTGCCTTTCTTAGCAGCTGGTCATGTGTTGTTAATATCCTAGCCAAGGCTCAGGGGAGCAAAGAGGCTTTTCTGGAAGGATGGTTTTGAGGTATATGTTCCTGTGACACACGGGCTCTTCCATACTCTGCATTAATCTTGAGATTTTCGGCGTGCTACAGGCATTAGTTGTTATTTATCTTTTTGACTTTGAAGTCAGGTGGCTCTAACGCTATCCATCTTCAACACTTTCACCTGGGTTTGGAAATTACAGCCAATGTGCCCAGCTGTCTAAGCTAGTTGCCTTTCAGGAAATAATAATGTGATGAGGTTGATCTGCAGAGCTCCAAGTGGCTCAGATCCCACACTGGTTTCTTCCTCCTTTCCTTCTCATTTCTTCAAGAGTTGCAGGTATCCAAGTGACTGCACCATCTACTGCCCTGGTATAGAGCAGCTTTGACTTTTGTACTGAGACATCTTTATGAGCGTAGTCATGAGATTGGGATGCAGGGAGGAAAAGAAATCAGGAGGTTTGAAAACAACAGCAATAACTCTGGAGAACAGCCAAAAGTTGGCCTCAGTTTTCTCTCTTTAAAGACCAAGCACAGCGAGAGCATGGTCTGGGAACAGGACTTGGAGCTCCTATCCCAAATCTCATGGGGACTCCAGGATCTGCAGGACCTTGCAAGGTTCAGAAGTCCTTATGGCACAGCAGGAAATGAAGGGGTCACCGTCAGCAGTGGAGATGGAGGTGAAGAGGTGGAGGCAAGTCTGCGCAGCATTCAGGTAGCAAGGATGAGAGAAGTTGTATGCTGCCTTGAGGCCGGAGGCTTCCTAACTAATGGCTGTTGGATACAAGGACACTGATGAACTTCATCTTCCCAGCACTGCTCAGGAGCAGCTGTGCTGGGAGAAGATCTGGATAGTGTAGCCTGCTGGATATTACCTGATGACTATGCTCGAGGATATGAGTATTAAGGTGCAGCAATACAAGCAAAAACCACAGCATGTCCTCTACACCTGGTAATTGCTACAATCTGTGTGGCGAGATTTGGGAAAATCTGGCACGTGCTGGAGTCTGGAGAAGGAGGTTTTGGGCAGCTGCAAAAGAGGAAGGTGCATTGGGCAGTGTAGGAGGGGTAAAAACAGAGCCATGAACTTGAGGGAAGCAGTAGAACCACTTCTGCTCCAGGGAAGCGGAACTGGGAGGAAGGGGGAACACCCCACACAGAGGGTCTCCCGAGGTGGGGGAGAAGGCAGGAGGGCAGCCCAGCTGCCGTATCCTCCAGGAGCGGGACCACAAGGAGGGAGCACGGGGCTCTGCTCCACAGGGAGGTTGCAGGCGGCTGCTGGGAAATGGTGAAGCTTAGAGCCGGATCAACCAATCCCACCAGTATTAGAGGCCAGTTCTGCCTGGTGATGTAAAATGTCCTTGGAGACTTGCTGTCCCGTTAAGCAACGCCTGCTCCTCACAAAGCCTATACTTATTCCCTAGAATACTTCCAAAGAGAAAAAAAAAGAGCTCCTCTAAGACACCCTAAACCAATACCTGCTGTGACTAAGCCCTGTGGGCAGCTCCGCAGCTGATTTATATCCTCCCCCTCCAAACTGAAGGGGTTAGAGTGGAAACAGACACTGCGTTAAACATAGCCGAGGGCTCCGCGCACCAATTCTGCAATAAAGCGCGGAGGAACCGGGACTATGGGGCGGCTGCTGCCAGGCATGACGCGGTTTCTTGTTTCCTCGGAGGCAGAGCAGAACTCCTTTTGGCTGGGACAGCTTTATGGGCTCGGTCGAGTTTATTATACTGCAAATGTTTTGAATTCCACATCTTAATTTCCAGAGAGGTTTTTCTTAACTTTTGCTTTTTTATTTGTTTTTTTACTACCTTGCCTTTTCAGATGGGTTTCAGTCACAAGTGCCATTTTCTGAGCAAGCAGGGACTGGAGTTCTCCCTGCCTGGGCTCCATCTGCAAAATAATCCCCTTTCTTCATTTCGTTTTCATGTCCGCCCACCATCCCCACCACACTCACTCAGCCAACACTTGGCAGTGAAATTTTTCCATGCAAGTTCCTCTGAGTTGTAAGGCCGTGAGTAACACGTGAGTGCCAACTCCAGGGTCGTCTTGCACCTCTAGGTGGAAGGAGGTTTCCCTCTGCCTCCCGTATGTGGAGCAGTTGTCAGTGTTATGTTAAAACTGCAGCTGGAGCCAGTGGAAAGGTTTCAGCATTCATTGTTTCTGTGTTTAAAGTCCTGCCGTGCCAGCCTGGCAAAGGCAAAGCCACAGCCTTGGTGTGCTTGGAGTGCTCCAGGTGCTATGAGGCCACCGTCGGGCAAATGGTTGGACGCTTCTCAGTGTAGTCACGTTGGCTTTGCAGGGTTTAGCTCCCTCCTGGAGAGGACGGAAAGTGCAAGCAATAAGGATGCTGACAAAGATGGATAGTGCCTGTTTGGCCCGTGTCGTAAATGCGCTGGGTGCTTCTGTGCCATTCCTTTCTTGTGTGGGCCTGGGAGGACTTTGCAGGTATTTTGACCACATGGCAAATTCAG